AAAGGCCACAGAAAAAAGTCAAAATGGCCACACTAATTGTATTATGCATTAATTGTTTTATATGCATTGTATAACTGTTCATAGGTCAGATCCGATTAATTGTATACACACAGATCTTCAGCACTAACAACACATCGCATATCACACATTTAGTTAGTGAGTGAGTGAGTGAGTGCTTTACGTCACAACGGCAATATTTCAGCCATATCGTGACGGTCACACTTTTAAACCCTTGATCCATGGTTTGAAGCGCATATTTGAAGGAGCTCCGATGGTGTTATGTCGCTCCCCTTGTATGAGCTCCATGCCCCAAAAGGTTTCATCATTAGGATAAAAGTTTACTCATGTTTTCACAACAGATTGGTACACTGGTCAGAACACAGAACAAAGAAAATTGATGAGGTTGGTTAAAACAAAAAACACGTGAACTCCATTGGAAGATAACACATTGTAATAACACACATCTAAGATGAACACTCTGTACACATCCTGCTGACATTGGATATTCATTTGTTATTAACAACATCTAAGATGAACACTCTGTACACATCCTGCTGACATTGGATATTCATTTGTTATTAACAACATCTAAGATGAACTCTGTACACATCCTGCTGACATTGGATATTCATTGGTTATTAACAACATCTAAGATGAACACTGTACACATCCTGCTCACATTGGATATTCATTTGTTATTAACAACATCCAAGATGAACACTCTGTACACATCCTGCTCACATTGGATATTCATTGGTTATTAACAACATCTAAGATGAACTCTGTACACATCCTGCTGACATTGGATATTCATTTGTTATTAACAACGTCCAAGATGAACACTCTGTACACATCCTGCTCACATTGGATATTCAGTTGTTATTAACAGCATCTAAGATGAACACTCTGTACACATCCTGCTGACATTGGATATTCATTTGTTATTAACAACATCTAAGATGAACACTGTACACATCCTGCTCACATTGGATATTCATTGGTTATTAACAACGTCCAAGATGAACACTGTACACATCCTGCTCACATTGGATATTCATTGGTTATTAACAACGTCCAAGATGAACACTACACATCCTGCTGACATTGGATATTCATTTGTTATTAACAACATCTAAGATGAACACTGTACACATCCTGCTGACATTGGATATTCATTTGTTATTAACAACATCTAAGATGAACACTGTACACATCCTGCTGACATTGGATATTCATTTGTTATTAACAACATCCAAGATGAACACTCTGTACACATCCTGCTCACATTGGATATTCATTTGTTATTAACAACATCCAAGATGAACACTCTGTACACATCCTGCTCACATTGGATATTCATTTGTTATTAACAACATCTAAGATGAACACTGTACACATCCTGCTCACATTGGATATTCATTTGTTATTAACAACATCTAAGATGAACACTCTGTACACATCCTGCTCACATTGGATATTCATTTGTTATTAACAACATCTAAGATGAACACTGTACACACCCTGCTGACATTGGATATTCATTTGTTATTAACAACATCTAAGATGAACACTGTACACATCCTGCTGACATTGGATATTCATTTGTTATTAACAACATCTAAGATGAACACTGTACACATCTTGCTCACATCGGATATTCATTTGTTATTAACAACATCTAAGATGAACACTGTACACATCCTGCTCACATTGGATATTCATTTGTTATTAACAACATCTAAGATGAACACTGTACACATCCTGCTCACATTGGATATTCATTTGTTATTAACAACATCTAAGATGAACTCTGTACACATCCTGCTGACATTGGATATTCATTTGTTATTAACAACATCTAAGATGAACACTGTAAACATCCTGCTGACATTGGATATTCATTTGTTATTAACAACATCTAAGATGAACACTGTACACATCCTGCTGACATTGGATATTCATTTGTTATTAACAACATCTAAGATGAACTCTGTACACATCCTGCTCACATTGGATATTCATTTGTTATTAACAACATCTAAGATGAACACTGTACACATCCTGCTCACATTGGATATTCATTTGTTATTAACAACATCTAAGATGAACACTGTACACATCCTGCTCACATTGGATATTCATTTGTTATTAACAACATCTAAGATGAACTCTGTACACATCCTGCTCACATTGGATATTCATTTGTTATTAACAACATCTAAGATGAACACTGTAAACATCCTGCTGACATTGGATATTCATTTGTTATTAACAACATCTAAGATGAACTCTGTACACATCCTGCTCACATTGGATATTCATTTGTTATTAACAACATCTAAGATGAACACTGTACACATCCTGCTGACATTGGATATTCATTTGTTATTAACAACATCTAAGATGAACACTGTACACATCTTGCTCACATCGGATATTCATTTGTTATTAACAACATCTAAGATGAACACTGTACACATCCTGCTCACATTGGATATTCATTTGTTATTAACAACATCTAAGATGAACACTGTACACATCCTGCTGACATTGGATATTCATTTGTTATTAACAACATCTAAGATGAACTCTGTACACATCCTGCTGACATTGGATATTCATTTGTTATTAACAACATCTAAGATGAACACTGTAAACATCCTGCTGACATTGGATATTCATTTGTTATTAACAACATCTAAGATGAACACTGTACACATCCTGCTGACATTGGATATTCATTTGTTATTAACAACATCTAAGATGAACTCTGTACACATCCTGCTCACATTGGATATTCATTTGTTATTAACAACATCTAAGATGAACACTGTACACATCCTGCTCACATTGGATATTCATTTGTTATTAACAACATCTAAGATGAACACTGTACACATCCTGCTCACATTGGATATTCATTTGTTATTAACAACATCTAAGATGAACTCTGTACACATCCTGCTCACATTGGATATTCATTTGTTATTAACAACATCTAAGATGAACACTGTAAACATCCTGCTGACATTGGATATTCATTTGTTATTAACAACATCTAAGATGAACTCTGTACACATCCTGCTCACATTGGATATTCATTTGTTATTAACAACATCTAAGATGAACACTGTACACATCCTGCTGACATTGGATATTCATTTGTTATTAACAACATCTAAGATGAACACTGTACACATCTTGCTCACATCGGATATTCATTTGTTATTAACAACATCTAAGATGAACACTGTACACATCCTGCTCACATTGGATATTCATTTGTTATTAACAACATCTAAGATGAACACTGTACACATCCTGCTGACATTGGATATTCATTTGTTATTAACAACATCTAAGATGAACTCTGTACACATCCTGCTGACATTGGATATTCATTTGTTATTAACAACATCTAAGATGAACACTGTAAACATCCTGCTGACATTGGATATTCATTTGTTATTAACAACATCTAAGATGAACACTGTACACATCCTGCTGACATTGGATATTCATTTGTTATTAACAACATCTAAGATGAACTCTGTACACATCCTGCTCACATTGGATATTCATTTGTTATTAACAACATCTAAGATGAACACTGTACACATCCTGCTCACATTGGATATTCATTTGTTATTAACAACATCTAAGATGAACACTGTACACATCCTGCTCACATTGGATATTCATTTGTTATTAACAACATCTAAGATGAACTCTGTACACATCCTGCTCACATTGGATATTCATTTGTTATTAAAACCGTCCAAGATGAACACTCTGTACACATCCTGCTCACATTATTATTATTTTTTGTTGGGGCCATTTTAATTTTTTTTGCCGTTTTGATTTTTGAGGTTTGAGGACGTTTTGACATGAAGCCGTGACATGACCCCCTCGGCCGAGGTAACGTTGTGGACCTGGGTGATACTGATCCACCGTTAATGGCATGGCGTGTGCAAAAAGTCGAAACGAGATGTAAAAACGAAATTTGCTGAAAAACATCGTTCTTTAACGGTGATTTGAGATAAATCAGAAGTCGGGGTAATTACTTTTCAAACGCTACGTATAATCGTTAGCATCTATACAAAGAGATAATAAAATACAGTAAACTACGTTTATAACGAACACGCTTATAACGAACTGGCGGATATAACGATCTGATTTTTGGGTCGCGGCCATTTGCTGTATATATGCTGTATATATGCTATATGTATGTTTATAACGAACTGCGGTTATAACGAACTAAATTTGTGGTCCCTTTGAGTTCGTTATAACCGTAGTTTACTGTATTGTGTTTTGAGATCGATTGGTCACTAAGCTGAGCGAGTATGTGATTTAAAAATGAATGCTTATTTTACAGCTGTTTTTACTTTTAAAAATTAACGTACATGAACACAGATTCGAAAACAGGTTTATCACGACAAGGACACGCTTTAACAACTAGCCTAACCAACCAATACATCACTACAAGAACTTAATCTTCAATAAGTTAAATATTTGCACGTTTAAGCAGTGTTTGGCGAATCAGATAACGTTGAATAGGAGTGGTGATGACAGAATATAAACATGGTACAATACAAAAGAGGGAATACAACATGAAAGTATCATGATGACAACATGACCGTTATTTGAATAAAGGCAAGTCAGACTTCAGTTTGTTTGTTTGTTTGTTTAACGCCGCACTCAGCAATATTCCAGCTATATGACGGCGGTCTGTATACAACTGAGTATGTACCAGACAGTCTAGTGATTGATATTGTGAGCAACGATCCAGACAGTGACGGTGCGATGTCAAAGTGTGTTTGAATGATTCAATTCTACAGCCCAAACATCTGTGTCTAGGTCATATCATTCATAGAGGAAGTGTGCTCTACGATCTAGGTCTAGACGCTGTCTCGTATGACACAGACCCATCTACTAAAGGTAGCCATGGACCAGCAAGTAGAAGATCTGCTCAATCTCCAATGCCTAGCATAAAGTACATGTATCTTGAATTCTTTATTCAGTGCAGTACAGGCCACAGGCCCTTTGTACAAAATGTATGGCATATTTATGGCAACAGTCACAATGATAAAATACGTGTTCTCTCTTCTTTACTGTGATACAGATATTTAGCGATATCAATAATCAGCTTTGTGTTGGTTGTAGATAAAAGAATTTTTAACTTATTTTGAAGGAATATAGAGATTGCGTAGGTGAGTATATGCAGGGCACACTAGCAGGAAATGTAACTCGTCTTCTATTTGGCCAACTTGACATAGTTTGCAAAATCTTTCTTCACGAGGGATATTAAGTTTTCTACCAGTTTCTGTTTCCAGCCAGTGTGCACAGCATCTGAACCTTGACATACATGACCGGAATTTACTCCCGGGTACACAATACAAATATTCTTTACACTTCAACGTTAATTTAAAATGAGAATAGAAGGACAATTTGGAGCTATTACATTATCTTCTATGTCATATTTGTTGAAAAGTATCTTCATAACGTTGAAATAACATCGAAGTAAATACCTGTACGTTACCGGGTGATTGTGATAACCAAACATGGCCGAATCCGAGTGAAAATAACGTCGTTCTTATATTAGTAACCCAATTCTTCTTTCCTTGGCTATCGTATAAATACACCATTTCATAAAACTTTTTAGCATAAATTATCGTGCTGTTTTTAAGTTCACTTAGTTTTCCTACACTAGTCACATCTGGCTGCGTGGGCAGAAAGGTGAGGTGAGGTGAAATTGAGGTATACTGACTCCGAGCCGACAAGTCCTTGTTTTAGCCCCTTAATGCCGAGCGCCAGACAGGGTAACAACAAGTACCATCTTTTAACGTCTTTTGGTATGACGCGGCCGGGGATCGAACCCCGGACCTTCTGCTCTCCGGGCGGACGCTCTACCACTAGACCACGGAGGCGGTCATGGGCAGAAAGTGAATTCCATCACAGTGTATTGTGTTCCCGTGTTACTTAAAGTCTTGTTGCCTTTGGGTATCGATCGATGACTTCCGTGCTAGAGATGAGTTAACCCCCCCGGTGGTTTAAAGATTCCGCATTGAAGAAAACTTCAAACAGCTGCACACCTTCCCCGCCACATGGACATACAAAACAATAAATAAACAAATCAATAAAGTAAATATTTCTAGTACCTCCCGTAAAATACAATCCGCTCTAAACTGGCTATATGTAGGCATCACGAAATTAGACTTTCGCCATTCCACTGGGCTCTGTCCCACATGTAAAGTTCCCCAAATAAAATGGCACATATTCTACACGTATATTAAAGGTAGACAAGGTCTAGACGCTGTCTCGTGTGACACAGACCTGTGTATGTGTATTAGAGTTAGCCACGGTCTAGACGCTCTCTAGGATGACACAGACCTGTCTATGTGTATTAAAGGTAGACATGGTCTAGACGCTGTCTCGCGTGACACAGACCTGTCTGTGTGTATTAAAGGTAGATATGGCCCAGACACTGTCTCGTGTGAAACAGACCTGTGTATGTGTATTACAGTTAGCCACGGTCTAGACGCTGTCTAGTGTGACACAGACCTGTCTATGTGTATTAAAGTTAGCCACGGTCTGGGTATCGATCGATGACTTCCGTGCTAGAACTGCCAATCGGCGAGTTTACCCCCCGGTGGTTTAAAGAGTCCGCATTGTCAAACATATCCATTCGTAACGTTGAAACTGGTAACAAACCTATTCACTGAACTGTGAACACACCCACTTTCCCATTCTCATTACAAACATACACAGTTCCTTTGGATCCGATCGCCACGCATTTCGGATCCTTCATTCCTTCCGTCTTGTGCAACATGTACCGTATACTTCCCGCATAGTCCACAAGCGCTAGGGCCGGCTTGCTATCCACCACAAAGATGTAACCTTTGCCATCATCGGCCATGCCCATGGGTTTCTTAATGTACTTACCAAACCCAAGCTCGCACATGTGTATCACGTGGCCACTCAACCGCAGACAGGCTACCTTGGACACCGTACAGTCAGACACCATGAGGTCTCCATTGGCAACAGTGCACATGTACAAGGGGTTGGCGAACAGAGCTGTGCCGTTGTGAATACACTTGAGAATATTACCCTCTAAGTCCATGATGTGGATGAGGACCGCCCCTGTCCCAGGGCAGGTGCTGACGGCGAAGGCATCTGTGCCCACAGCTGTGATTCCCCAATATTTCAGCTCGGTCTTGAGGGTCGTCTGTAGTATCAGGGTCGGTGAGACGGACATGATAGCAACATGCTTGGCTGCAGGGACAGTGACTGCCACCATGTTCCCAACATAATTACAGATACCGTGCGGCTTCTTCTCCATGGTCAGCTTGCTCTGCATGTCCTTGGTACCATGCGTGTAAAAGGACTTGACGCAGAAATTCTCCCCGTCAGTGACAACCAAAACTCCACCGGCTACAGACACAGCATCACGTAAGCTTGGTTGATTCTTATCCCCCTTTACTTTAGCAGAGATGATTCTTTCCAGCTTCAAGTCCCGCCTTTCGGTAACAAGGGGTTCGAAAGGAGAGATGTTTCCGACCTGAACTGGTGTCTGGGGAGACGTGGGCGTGGCAGGGGAAGCAGGTGCCGTTGGGGGGAGCGGTGGTGGTGTGGAGATCGGCAAAAGCATCAACTGTCTGGTACGCGACTGGCTACTGAGGCTTCCTAATGGCGGCACGTTCCAGTGTTTCGCCTGGTAGCTCAGGTTCCGCATCTGTATATCACAAGAGGACTTCTCCTTGTATGATGAGAATTTAATGCAGTACTGTTCCATTGTGTTGTACTGGTCAATAACGCGATGGAGGTCACCACCGTGGATCAGGTCATGAGATGCATCTTTCAGACGAGTGAGAAATTGAGTTTGACTGTTGTGGTTACGCAGTTCTTCATTCAGCTCGCTGTCAAACCTGCTGTAAGCATGGTCCAGCTCCTCCAAGATTTTGGCTTCTTCTCCTTTGATCTTCTGCACGACCTCTGCCACATGTTGAACGATCTTTCTCTTCTCTGTACAGTACTGATGCTCCAGCTTGTCATGTTCCCTCGCCTGCTCCAGCTTCCTGGCTGCAGACCTGTCAAGGTGGGAACAGAAGGAGTGATGAAACATCCTGATCCTGGCCCTCTTCTCAGCCACAGCCTCCTCCAGTGTGATGACTTGCAGGCACGTCCTGTGGAGAGTTGGAGCACAGGACGAGCAGATCATCACATCACAGTCAACGCACAGAAAGTCCAAAGACTTGCCTGGGTGCTTGTAACAGAGCCGCCCCTGCACGGTGGGTATAGAGTCTGTTCCACTGGACACCATGCCCAGAAGGTTCTTGATCAGAAAGTTGTCTTTGAAGTGACTGGCCCACTTATCAATTGAAACACTTGGATTTGGAATTTCGATGTTTTCCCGACATGTTGGGCAATTGAAGCGAGGGTTGGATCTCGAGCAGACGCTTTGGATGTAGCCGGACAGGCATCCTCTGCAGAAGGTGTGGACGCAGGGGAGGAACTTGGGTTCCTTGAACTGGTCGAAGCAGATGCCACATTCCAGGAATCCCCGACTGAAGGAATCATGTCGGCTGAGGGACGAAGACCCTAAAAAAATAGAAGAGTTCTGAGGGAATTTTGTACACAAACCATGAAAAATTACTATAAATCTGACTTATCTTTGTCGCTCTGGGCAGTCGGGTAGCCTAGTGGTTAAAGCGTTCGCTCGTCACGCCGAAGACCCGGGTTCGATTTCCGACATGGGTACAATGTGTGAAGCCCATTTCTGGTGTCCCCCGCCATGATATTGCTGGAATACTGTTAAAAGTGAAACCAAACTCACTCACTCAGGCTACATGACAATGGGGACACCAGAAATGGGTTTCACATTCTGTACCCATGTGGGAATCGAACCCGGGTCTTCGATGAGACGAGCCGACGTTTAAACCACTTAGCCACCTCAACGGTCATCCTCCTCCTCCTCCTCCTCCTCCTCCTCCTCCTCCTCATCATCATCATGAACAACAATTGTAAAAGTTAGTTGGCGAGTATTGTTAACGGGAAACACCACAAACAGGCTATGAAGCTGGAATATTGCTGAGTGCGGCGTAAAACAACAAACAAACAAACACACAAACAAACATTGGGTGACCCGAAAAAGGTGATGTTTTTTTATGATTTCTGGGATACCCTGTTCTACAAGTACGGACTATTTGTTGAATACAACAAACTATAAAAGTTAATTTGTTTAATGCAAATAGTCATTTTGTATAATAATCAGAACATATTTACTTTCTACCACATGTTTAGGTGAGTTGTATAGTCTGCAGGGTCCCCTACAGGCGGGGGTGGGGAAATATATCAATATCAATAATGAAATAATTGTTTCATCTGCCCTGATATTGGCATAATTCCAGAGACATGTATTCACAACCTTGCAAAGTGACGGGTACATGACTCTTTTGAGTGAGTGAGTGAGTGAGTGAGTTGGGTGAGCAACATAATGGAAAGTAGATTCATTTATTTTTTTTAAACGTGATCACATAAACATTACTTTCTTGGTGAATACGGTATCCATTAATGACGAAGGTTGTAGCTTAAACATGTGAGAATACTAGTAAATGTATCACTAATAATTGATAATAGACCCGTGAAGATCCGGAGTAGAATAGGTCTTCAGCAACCAATGCATGTCGTGAAAGGCGACTATGCTTGTCGTAAGAGGCGCCTAACAGTATTGGGTGGTCAGGCTCGCTGACTTGGTTGATCGTATCTCATTGCGTGGATCGTGATGTCAATCATTAGATTGTCTGGTCCAGACTCGATTTTCTCCCGACCGCCGTCATAGAGCTGGAATATTGCTGAGTGAGGCGTTAAACAAGAAACAAACTGGATTAGATTTAACAACAGAATTATAAACCTCAGAGTGTTCATTTGTATTGATCGTAAGGTTTCTTCAAACTTGAGAAAGACCCACATGAGGTTTTACTTGAGTAGAAAACCCGGGACTTACTGTGGAAGACCCTGGGACTTGATTTTCATCGTTATAAAAAGTTACATATTTCAGATCAAGTCCCTGGGTCTTCCACAGTAAGTCCCCAGGACTTCCATACCCTTTATTTTAAAAAAAACACACGCAATACTAGATTTTCTTCACTTTAATTGAAGTTGACATTTACAATGATAATCTTTGCAGGCCCCCCTTCCTACGGCAGCGCAGAAGCGGTTTTTTTAGTTTTCGTTTGTGTGAGAAATAAATCGCCACCTTCCTCTCTCTCCCACATCTTGCCACAAAATGAAACTCGACTGTAAGCTGTCCACATTATGACGGAGACGCTCACGGGCAATGCGTGCGTGCACGACCAGCACGTGCATGACACCTGTAGTCGTCACTCAACATAGCTGACGGATGCGTTTATAGTCTCGTTATATCGCATATATAGATCCTCGTTATTGCGTATCTCAATTAGAATTAACTTTGTCGGTTTATAAGTCAGATAAAACACTTATCCTCGGTTTTGGTTGAAAATGTAAACCCGCCTGGTCGGAAAGATCCTGCGGGCCTTCAGCCCTTAGGATCTTCCTTCATGACTACAGGGGCGGTCGGGTAGCCTAGTGGTTAAAGCGTTCGCTCGTCACGCCGAAGACCCGGGTTCGATTCCCGACATGGGTACAATGTGTGAAGCCCATTTCTGGTGTCCCCCGCCGTGATATTGCTGGAATATTGCTAAAAGCGGCGTAAAACCATACTCACTCACTCACTCATGACTACAACCGGCAGTGCTGCCCATGATTGGGAATTATCGACACTATCAAGAAATCTGTGATGGTCATACAGATAAAATGTTGAGGTGTATTTCGTTTTCGTCTTAAGATTATATCCGCAACTGGCTTCATAGAACGCCCAGTGATTTCTCCGCTCCAGTTCACACTCAACACATACGTCATTTCACTGAGGACTGTCTTCTGCCGTGCCGGCCAATGTCGACCAGTTACGTGTATGTACCTGGGGTTTTACGTGGGGATTCACCTGGGGTTTCACCTGGTGGTTTCCCCTGGATTTCTGACTGGGTTTCTACTCGGGAACTATCAGAGAAAACACCCAGTGGTCAGATCAGGGTGACGAATTTTATCCTGAACTGGTAATGCCTGAGGCTTGTCACAAAATCGCGAATCTGAGACCCGTCAATCATGATATGCCTCAGTGTGTCTGAACAAGCCAGCCTGTCCCATACACCGTGAGTCATTAAGTAATCTGCCCCAGTGTGCCTGAACAAGCCTGCCTGTCCCATACACCGTGAGTCATTAAGTAACCTGCCTCAGTGTGTCTGAACAAGCCTGCCTGTCCCATACACCGTGAGTCATTAAGTAACCTGCCCCAGTGTGCCTGAACAAGCCTGCCTGTCCCATACACCGTGAGTCATTAAGTAACCTGCCTCAGTGTGTCTGAACAAGCCTGCCTGTCCCATACACCGTGAGTCATTAAGTAATCTGCCCCAGTGTGTCTGAACAAGCCTGCCTGTCCCATACACCGTGAGTCATTAAGTAACCTGCCCCAGTGTGTCTGAACAAGCCTACCTGTCCCATACACCGTGAGTCATTAAGTAATCTGCCCCGGTGTGTCTGAACAAGCCTACCTGTCCCATACACCGTGAGTCATTAAGTAATCTGCCCCAGTGTGTCTGAACAAGCCTGCCTGTCCCATACACCGTGAGTCATTAAGTAATCTGCCCCAGTTTGTCTGAACAAGCCTGCCTGTCCCATATACCGTGAGTCATTAAGTAATCTGCCCCAGTTTGCCTGAACAAGCCTGCCTGTCCCATATACCGTGAGTCATTAAGTAATCTGCCCCAGTGTGTCTGAACAAGCCTGCCTGTCCCATACACCGTGAGTCATTAAGTAATCTGCCCCAGTTTGTCTGAACAAGCCTGTCTGTCCCATACACCGTGAGTCATTAAGTAATCTGCCCCACTGTGTCTGAACAAGCCTGCCTGTCCCATACACCGTGAGTCATTAAGAAATCTGCCCCAGTTTGTCTGAACAAGCCTGCCTGTCCCATACACCGTGAGTCATTAAGTAATCTGCCCCAGTTTGTCTGAACAAGCCTGCCTGTCCCATACACCGTGAGTCATGAAGTAACCTGCCCCAGTGTGTCTGAACAAGCCTCCCTGTCCCATACACCGTGAGTCATTAAGTAACCTGCCCCAGTGTGTCTGAACAAGCCTGCCTGTCCCATACACCGTGAGTCATTAAGTAATCTGCCCCAGTTTGTCTGAACAAGCCTGCCTGTCCCATACACCGAGAGTCATTAAGTAACCTGCCTCAGTGTGTCTGAACAAGCCCGCCTGTCCCATACACCGTGAGTCATTAAGTAATCAGCCTCAGTGTGTCTGAACAAGCCTGCCTGTCCCATACACCGTGTCATTAAGTAATCTGCCCCAGTGTGTCTGAACAAGCCTGCCTGTCCCATACACCGTGAGTCATTAAGTAATCTGCCCCAGTGTGTCTGAACAAGCCTGCCTGTCCCATATACCGTGAGTCATTAAGTAATCTGCCCCAGTTTGTCTGAACAAGCCTGCCTGTCCCATATACCGTGAGTCATTAATTAATCTGCCCCAGTTTGTCTGAACAAGCCTGCCTGTCATATATACCGTGAGTCATTAATTAATCTGCCCCAGTTTGTCTGAACAAGCCTGCCTGTCATATATACCGTGAGTCATTAAGTAACCTGCCCCAGTGTGTCTGAACAAGCCTACCTGTCCCATACACCGTGAGTCATTAAGTAATCTGCCCCAGTTTGTCTGAACAAGCCTGCCTGTCCCATACACCGTGAGTCATTAAGTAATCTGCCCCAGTGTGTCTGAACAAGCCTGCCTGTCCCATACACCGTGAGTCATTAAGTAATCTGCCCCACTGTGTCTGAACAAGCCTGCCTGTCCCATACACCGTGAGTCATTAAGTAATCTGCCCCAGTGTGTCTGAACAAGCCTGCCTGTCCCATATACCGTGAGTCATTAAGTAATCTGCCCCAGTTTGTCTGAACAAGCCTGCCTGTCTCATACACCGTGAGTCATTAAGTAATCTGCCCCAGTTTGTCTGAACAAGCCTGCCTGTCCCATACACCGTGAGTCATTAAGTAATCTGCCCCAGTTTGTCTGAACAAGCCTGCCTGTCCCATATACCGTGAGTCATTAATTAATCTGCCCCAGTGTGTCTGAACAAGCCTACCTGTCATATATACCGTGAGTCATTAAGTAATCTGCCCCAGTTTACACCTGGTAAATAGACGCACTACAGAAAGAGACGCATCCAGAATAAATAGGGCAGAAGTTTGATGGATTAAAAACGATCTCACATTTATATCTTTTTAAAACTTGAAATGCAGTTATATTTGTGTTAAACATCGAAAAAAGTGAGTGAGTAGGCGAGATGGGTTTAACGCTGCTCAGAGCTGTATTCCAGTTATATCACGGCGTGTCACCTAGATGTGGGACGAAAGCCCGAAGTGATGCAGGTCTCAGACGTTTCCAACTTTGGTGAAACCCACGAGCACGGGTATGTTGCTGACAAACCTAGAAACATAATCGGGGCGAACCGGGATTCGAACCCACAGTCAAGGGACGCGCGGTGGGGTAGCCTAGTGGTTAAAGCATTCGCTCATCACGTCGGCCCGGGTTCGATTCCCCAAATGGGTATAATTTGTTAATCCCATTGTTGACGTACCCCGCAGTGATATTGCTGGAATATTGATAAATGCGGCGCAAAATAATACTCACTCTGTCACACAAAGGCCGGATATATGGACCTAACAAAAAAAACACCAGTTCTTATTCCAAGATGTACGATAAGCTTCTCCCACACAATCCATCGCGATAGCGCCAAACAGGCTTTGAATAGGTGAGCAAGGATTGTTTACATACCAATGCATGTCCGCTGATCATAGAATCGTTTTCACAAAACATAAACGTATTCACAGTTCGTCCTTGACATGGCCCAAGCGAGGATACAGACTTTTGTTTGTGTGTTTATTGGGAAAAACGATCCACAGTGTCGGTGTACAGATATAGCTTTTGTTTGTTTGTTTATTGGGAAAAACGATCCACACTGTCGGGGTACAGGTATAGCTTTTGTTTGTTTGTTTATTGGGAAAAACGATCCACACTGTCGGGGTACAGATATAGCTTTTGTTTGTTTGTTTATTGGGAAAAACGATCCACACTGTCAGGGTACAGATATAGCTTCTGTTTGTTTGTTTATTGGGAAAAACGATCCACACTGTCGGGGTACAGATATAGCTTTTGTTTGTTTGTTTATTGGGAAAAACGATCCACAGTGTCGGGGTACAGATATAGCTTTTGTTTGTTTGTTTATTGGGAAACACGATCCACACTGTCGGGGTACAGATATAGCTTTTGTTTGTTTGTTTATTGGGAAAAACGATCCACACTGTCGGGGTACAGATATAGCTTTTGTTTGTTTGTTTATTGGGAAAAACGATCCACACTGTCGGGGTACAGATATAGCTTTTGTTTGTTTGTTTATTGGGAAAAACGATCCACACTGTCGGGGTACAGATATAGCTTTTGTTTGTGTGTTTATTTGGAAAAAACGATCCACACTGTCGGGGTACAGATATAACTTTTGTTTGTTTGTTTATTGGGAAAAAAGATCCACACTGTCGGGGTACAGATATAGCTTTTGTTTGTTTGTTTATTGGGAAAGACGATCCACACTGTCGGGGTACAGATATAGCTTTTGTTTGTTTGTTTATTGGGAAAAACGATCCACACTGTCGGGGTACAGATATAGCTTTTGTTTGTTTCTTTATTGGAAAAAACGATTCACACTGTCGGGGTACAGATATAGCTTTTGTTTGTTTCTTTATTTGGGAAAAACGATCCACACTGTCGGGGTACAGATATAGCTTTTGTTATTTGTTTATTGGGAAAAACGATCCACACTGTCGGGGTACAGGTATAGCTTTTGTTTGTTTGTTTATTTGGGAAAAACGATCCACACTGTCGGGGTACAGATATAGCTTTTGTTTGTTTGTTTATTGGGAAAAACGATCCACACTGTCGGGGTACAGATATAGCTTTTGTTTGTTTGTTTATTGGGAAAAACGATCCACACTGTCGGGGTACAGATATAGCTTTTGTTTGTTTGTTTATTGGGAAAAACGATCCACACTGTCGGGGTACAGATATAGCTTTTGTTTGTGTGTTTATTGGGAAAAACGATCCACACTGTCGGGGTACAGATATAGCTTTTGTTTGTGTGTTTATTTGGAAAAAACGATCCACACTGTCGGGGTACAGATATAACTTTTGTTTGTTTGTTTATTGGGAAAAAAGATCCACACTGTCGGGGTACAGATATAGCTTTTGTTTGTTTGTTTATTGGGAAAGACGATCCACACTGTCGGGGTACAGATATAGCTTTTGTTTGTTTGTTTATTGGGAAAAACGATCCACACTGTCGGGGTACAGATATAGCTTTTGTTTGTTTCTTTATTGGAAAAAACGATCCACACTGTCGGGGTACAGATATAGCTTTTGTTTGTTTGTTTATTTGGGAAAAACGATCCACACTGTCGGGGTACAGATATAGCTTTTGTTATTTGTTTATTGGGAAAAACGATCCACACTGTCGGGGTACAGGTATAGCTTTTGTTTGTTTGTTTATTTGGGAAAAACGATCCACACTGTCGGGGTACAGATATAGCTTTTGTTTGTTTGTTTATTGGGAAAAACGATCCACACTGTCGGGGTACAGATATAGCTTTTGTTTGTTTGTTTATTGGGAAAAACGATCCACACTGTCGGGGTACAGATATAGCTTTTGTTTGTTTGTTTATTGGGAAAAACGATCCACACTGTCGGGGTACAGATATAGCTTTTGTTTGTTTGTTTATTGGGAAAAACGATCCACAGTGTCGGGGTACAGATATAGCTTTTGTTTGGTTGTTTATTGGGAAAAACGATCCACACTGTCGGGGTACAGATAAAGCTTTTGTTTGTTTGTTTATTGGGAAAAACGATCCACAGTGTCGGGGTACAGATAAAGCTTTTGTTTGTGTGTTTATTGGGAAAAACGATCCACTGTGTTGGGGTACAGATATAGCTTTTGTTTGTTTGTTTATTGGGAAAAACGATCCACACTGTCGGGGTACAGATATAGCTTTTGTTTGTTTGTTTATTGGGAAAAACGATCCACACTGTCGGGGTACAGATATAGCTTTTGTTTGGTTGTTTATTGGGAAAAACGATCCACAGTGTCGGGGTACAGATAAAGCTTTTGTTTGTTTGTTTATTGGGAAAAACGATCCACAGTGTCGGGGTACAGATATAGCTTTTGTTTGTGTGTTTATTGGGAAAAACGATCCACTGTGTTGGGGTACAGATATAGCTTTTGTTTGTTTGTTTATTGGGAAAAACGATCCACACTGTCGGGGTACAGATATAGCTTTTGTTTGTTTGTTTATTGGGAAAAACGATCCACACTGTCGGGGTACAGATATAGCTTTTGTTTGTTTGTTTATTGGGAAAAACGATCCACACTGTCGGGGTACAGATATAACTTTTGTTTGTGTGTTTATTGGGAAAAACGATCCACAGTGTTGGGGTGCAGATATAGCTTTTGTTTGGTTGTTTATTGGGAAAAACGATCCACACTGTCAGGGTACAGATATAGCTATTTGTGAGTTGTTTATTGGGAAAAACGATCCACACTGTCGGTGTACGGATACAGCTATTTGTTTGTTTGTTTATTGGGAAAAACGATCCACAGTGTCGGGGTACAGGTACATCTATTTGTGAGTTGTTTACGTCACAATCAGCAATATTCCAGCTATATGACGGCGGTCTGTAAATAAGGGAGTCTTGACAAGACAGTCAGGTAACTGATATTGGAAAAAACGGTCCACACTGTCGGGGTACAGATACAGCTTTTGTTTGTTTGCTTGTTTGTTTGTTTGTGAGTTGTTTACGTCACAATCAGCAATATTGCAGCTTTTTGACGGCTGTTTGTAAATAAGCGAGTCTTGACCAGACAATCAGGTAATTGATATTGGAAAAAACGGTCCACATTGTCGGGGTACGAGATACAGCTTTTGTTTGTTTGTTTGTTGGTTGGTTGTTTAACGTCACAATCAGCAATATTCCAGCTATATGACGGCGGTCTGTAAATAATCGAGTTATTCACAATTCGACCTCATAATGATCCAAGTGAGGATACAGCTTTTTGTTTGTTTATTGTTTACCGCCGTGATTAGCAATATTCCAGCTGTAACATATGACTGGATATAATCTTGTCTTGATCAGACAATCAAGTGATTGATATTAAGAGCATCTATCCATGATCTCGGGGTCTGCACTCGCGTAGTCTTGAAAGTTTATCATCAAATGGGCTAATGGTCATATTGTATGTTTATAGGCGGATCATCAGTTTGTTTGAGTATGTTTCTACGTTTATCCACACATGGCTCGTGGGTTTCATCCAAGTAGACATCCGAGAACCGCATCACTTCCTCCACATGAAGAGTATCAAGATTAATCAAAGCGCCTATGTTTAAGTATGGGACACTATGATCACTTTAGCGCTAAGTTCGCTTTGTGGAGGTGAGGTGAGGTGAAATGGGGTTTAACGTCGCGTCAAAGATTATTTCACTTATATAGCGACGTGCATGTACGTGTGTGTGTTTGTGCGGCTGCTTGTACTAGACCGGACTGATGCCGATTTATAGTGCTAGCTCACTGAGATACCATGCTGCAGTTTAACATGAATACCCCACTCAGACACAGTATACTGACTCCGAGCCGACAAGTCCTTGTTTTAGCCCCTTAATGCCGAGCGCCAGACAGGGTAACAACAAGTACCATCTTTTAACGTCTTTTGGTATGATGCGGCCGGGGATCGAACCCCGGACCTTCCGCTCTCCGGGCGGACGCTCTACCACAAGACCACGGAGGCGGTCTCGCTTTGTGGAACGGGCCCCTGATCTTTTGCATGTCTTGTAAAGGCGACAATGGCCCTGCCAGGATTCCATATAACAGCCGCGGAATGAGAACACGAAGGACGGTGTCAAACGCCAACTAACTCGACGTGTCTCAGTGGAGTAAGGCTTGAATCCCGTATTGTCGTGAGGGTGGTGAGGGGCTGTGACATCTTGATGTATGTCACGGTGACTGGTTACTGAATGTAGGTTATACATATCTGTCCAGGTATACATTCACATAAATACCATATTCCAACCTATACATGACTTTACCTCAACATATACATGACTATACCTCAACATATACATCCATGTGTATCATATCCCATCACGTCCTTAACAAGGTGTTCGTGTGTACATATTATTCAACGTGTTGTAAACATCACGTACCTTCAATTCTCGTGTCGTCCATGGTGTTAGATTTACGACGTTTAAACTCGTCCTTAGTCTTGGCTGTGCAGTTGCAAGACGTCACGCATGACTAATCAGGCAATATCAACCAGGATGTGACAAGTGAAAAATACCTCCCAGCTTAAGTAAACCAAAGGGGAAATTTCCAGATCGACTGTCGTGATTGTGAAATCACGGAACGAAAGAGCCCCCGTCTTCATTGGGCCATGACACGTTGTTGCATTCAGTTGGTTGTCGGTGTCACTGAACAACCTACGTATTGTGGGCCTGTTATTCCGGGTTGTATCTTGTGACCCTCCGTCTATATTTAGCTCAACTGGCTTCTCGGGGTGGACGTGGGGATTCCGGGTAGGCGACAGCAGGAATTGGGTGGCTGACCTCGGCGAGTTGGATGATGGCGCCATAGCGTGCTGTGTGCGGCGTTAAACAACACGGGTAATCTCGATCTGCCTCAGGGCCTGCGATCCTATTCTAAAGTCTGTTTGTTTGTTTGTTTGTTGTTTAACGCCAGCTATATGACGGCGGTCTGTAAATAATTGAGTCTGGACCAGACAATCCAGTGATTGACATCATGATCATCGATCTATTGAGATCGATGACATGCATCAACCAAGTCAGCAGCCACCCGATCTCGTTAGTCGCCTCTTAGGACAAGCATGGGTTTCTGAAGACCCATTTTCACCTGGATCTTCCCGGGGAATTCAGTTTGTGACGACAGACGATGTTTGTGTTAAATATCAATGGATTTTAAGATAATATATAATATATAGTTAAGAGATGACACGCGAGTCAACGGTCCAACCTAGTGACACAGTAAAAACTGTGAAACTAGCACATACATACATACATACATACATACATACATACATACATACATACATACATGCTCGGTGTGACTCGGTGCAACTCGGCGACACTCGGTGTAACTCGGCATAACTCGGTGACTCTCGGTGAGAGTCGGTTGACTTGCGTCTCATCTTATCCTGACGGTGTGGATCGTTAAAGTAAAACAACACCATCACTGAGGCCGCCGCGACAAACAACAAACAAACATACTATAACGTAACCAGTTGTCGAAGTCTGCTGTATGGGGTAATGATATGGTGTTCATGTTTCTCACATTGACGCAGTGTGAGTGGTAACGTCCCTCGTACACAGCTGTGAGGGTAGAATTGGCCTTCAGCAACCCATGCTTGTCGTAAAAGGCGACTATACTTGTCGTAAGAGCCGACTAATGGGATCGGGTGGTCAGGCTTGCTGACTTGGTTCATGCACGTCGCATCCCAATTGCGTGGATCGATGCTCATGATTTCAATCACTCGATTGTCTGGTCCAGACTCGATTTTTTACAGCCCGCTGGCATATAGCTGGGATATTGCTGAGGGCGGCGGTGATCAACAAATAAACAAACAAAGCTGTGAGGGGACACTGACTAGTGCGTTCGATTCCCGACATGGGTACAATGTGTGAAGCCCATTTCTGGTGTCCCCCGCCGTGATATTGCTGGAATATTGCTAAAAGCGGCGTAAAACCTCACTCACTCACTCACTCACTCACTCACTCACCGACTAGTGCATGCATCTGAATGAAGGGCCGTATATTGACAACAGTCTTGCAGGAGTTATCTCCTCCTGATTTCCGATGGCAAAGCGGGAAATTTCCATACTTTGAGATGATGAATCGTCGCGTTCAAGATTCTTGCACTTAATAGATATAGTGTGTGTGTGTGTGTGTGTGTGTGCGTGCGTGCGTGCGTGCGTGCGTGCGTGCGTGCGTGCGTGTGACTAACAGTGCTAGCCCACTGTGATACCATGCCGCAGTTTAACATGGATACCACTGACTCCGATCCAACCAGTCCTTGTTTTATTCCCTTTATGCCGTGCGCTGGGCAGGGTAACAACAAGTATAATCTTTTAACGGATTTTGGTATGACGTGGCCGGGATTGAACCATGGCTCCGTCCTCGTATGTGTCGACTAGATAGAGCGTCTACCCGTAGGACCTAAGATGGGTGGTTCGATCCCCGGCCGCGTCATACCAAATACGTTAAAGTTGATAATTGTTGTGAGGCTGCTAGATACAAGATGTCTGTGAGAAGAACTTGTAAATATAATGATTATATACTTCAGTGTGAAAGACTGACTTTATGAAGTTGTGGAAAGTGATATTTTTAATTGCAGTGAGCATAACACTTGATATTTTACTGCAGTGAACGTTAAAATTGATATTTTACTGCAGTGAACGTGTAAAGATTGATATTTTACTGCAGTGAACGTAACAATTGATATTTTACTGCAGTGAACGTAAAGATTGATATTTTACTGCAGTGAACGTAAAAATTGATATTTTACTGCAGTGAACGTAAAAATTGATATTTTACTGCAGTGAACGTAAAAAAAGATATTTCTCTGCATGAACGTAAGAATTGTTTTTTTATTGCAGTGAACGTAAAAATTGATATTTTATTGCAGTGAACGTAAAAATTGATATTTTATTGCAGTGAACGTAAAAATTCATATTTTACTGCAGTGAACGTAAAAATTGATATTTCATTGCAGTGAACATGACACTTTGACAGAACTATTGTCATACAAGAGTTACTTCCCCTCACATTGTCTCCTTTTATCGTATTTGTCTCGCCCGTACACAAACTATTGACTTCCTTTTACGTTTGTTCCACATTGACAATGACATTTGGTCATTTATGGCGCTAATATCGCTTCATGCCGTTTATTTTCCTCTCGAAAATGTTTCGTGATAAACTGTAATTTTCTCATTTATCTCGTCAAGCGGTCTCGTGGCTTACAAGAATATGTTTTGTTGAAGTTGATTTTGTATATAATCATATCCAAATGTATGGTTAGAAGTTGTGTGGGTGGGGGTGGGGGTGGGTGTGGGTGGAGGTTGTTATGTAGGGAGAATTGACGCCTCAAGGATTTACATTTGAAATGAGATAATTTATTTTCCGAAAGACAACGACACGAAGAGTATCTCGTGAAAAATCATGTTTCTCTCATCTCGTGACTAGGGGTGGTCGGGTAGCCTAGTGGTTAAAGCGTTCGCTCGTCACGCCCAAGACCCGGGTTCGATTCCCGACATGGGTACAATGTGTGAAGCCCATTTCTGGTGTCCCCCGCCGTGATATTGCTGGAATATTGCTAAAAGCAGTGTAAAACCATATTCACTCACTCACTCTCTCACTCACGCTTTATTTAAAGGAATACATTTAATGAACACGCTTCGCCTAAGAACTGCCTATGATAAAGCAAGCCATTAAAGGCAGCAACCATACATTCAACGTGTCGAATCCCGTTGACGTGATAGCCATTGATGTAATGGTGAAGTTAAACGAGAAGCGTTCGCTCGTCACGCCGAAGACCCGGGTTCGATTCCCGACATGGGTACAATGTGTGAAGCCCATTTCTGGTGTCCCCCGCCGTGATATTGCTGGAATATTGCTAAAAGCAGCGTAAGACCATACTCACTCAATCACTCATTCATCTCGTGACTGAGGCAAGGAGATATTTTCACTCGTGGTAATATCTCATTTCCCCCGTCACTCGAGGAGAGAAACATGATATTTCATTCGACAAATGAGATATCCACTTTATGTTAATCAATTCATTTTGTTGACATAATATTTTTTTAAAATATATTTTTAAATATATAAATGTTATGTATTAATGAACATGAAATATCACCATAAAGATTTGTCTGTGACCTCCAACTGATAAAATATTGCTATACAATGAAATTCTAGAAGCGTTATTTTTAAAACATTCGAGAAAAATGTGATAGACGTTTTAACATATGCACACGGATTTCAATGGATTTAAATAAAGCTGCATTGAGAGAACCTTTTGATATTTAACGTATCGACAATATCTCAGCCAACGAAAACAAATTATACACACATTTTCAGTAAAACATTAAGGTGTAGATCAAAGACAGAACCCAAACTAGGCGTGTGAAGATCACACAATCCCAAGGAACTTATAAGAAGAACAATCTTCGAAGGGATCCAGGGTTAGAATTGATCCCCAAGAACCCATGCTGGTCGGAAGCGAAGGTGATTAAGCGTCCAAGATTATTGCACTTATATAGCGACGTGCATGCATGTGTATGTGTGTGTGTGTGTGTGTGTGTGTGTGTGTGTGTGTGTGTGTGTGTGTGTGTGTGTGTGTGTGTGTGTGTATGTCTGCTTGTACTAGTCCGGACTGATGCCGATTTATAGTGCTAGCTCACTGAGATACCATGCCGCAGTTTAACATAAATACCCCACTCAGACACAGTATACTGACTACGAGCCGACCAGTCCTTGTTTTAGCCCCTTAATGCCGAGCGCCAGACGGGTAACAACAAGTACCATCTTTTAACGTCGTTTGGTATGACGCGGCCGGAGATCGAACCCCGGACCTTCCGCTCTCCGGGCGGACGCTCTACCACTTGACCACGGAGGCGGTCTCGGAAGCAAAGAGGAGACTCGGTTGATGATGCCATCGTACCTGATGTTTGTTGGTCATAACATCATTTTATCAATTTATCAATCACTGGTTTGTCTGGTCCGTGGTCCATTATTTCCACGCCGCCGTCATCTAGAGCAGTGCCGCATTCAACATTAGGGGTAACCCTCTATCCCGCTTGCATGGAAGAAAAGTGTGATGTGATCCGACGGCTATTTTGTGCAAAAGTCTCATTCGAACTGGTCTCAATACAAATCTGAACATGACAAGATAGACACAATTTTATGGATAGCAACTTCTTTAATACTGTGAAAAGCGACGTTTCGGTATAGATCATTATACCGTTGTCAAGCAAGACTGAATGAGGTTGTTGTTGTTGTTGCATTAAGTGTTTAAGAGGTCGCCTTTTGCCTAGGCAATTTCGGCTGACCTGTCCCTCTTTGGGACTCCTGTGTGTGAGTAGGGTACACCTATCTATTGTGAGTTTGGTCTTCACATAATTTCTGTTTTTGTATTGATATGATTTCTATTTTCTTATATTGATATGATTTCATTTTTATCCTTGGCTGCTCTGTTTATATACGTTCGAGTAGCTGTCCATCTCTCAGAAATAGTTAGTTTGGCCTTCGCTATTGCATCTCTTGGCTTTAGGAGATCTATGACAGATAGCGGATCTAACTGCAATTCTTGTTTTAACCTAGCCCAGGCTGGGGCATGGTCTTGACATTCCAGTAACATATGAATGAGGGACATAGTACAGAATATATATTGTAGGTGCATGGAGGATTAACAGTAACAACAATTGCATACATGAGTGGGAT